CCCCAAAACCCCAAAACCCCAAAACCCCAAAGATTAAATAGCCGCTAAATATAAAACAATGAATATATAATATTTATTTCTGCAATTCAAAGTTTTATTATATAGAGCTTACATATTAAGATTATATAGGGCTATTATTATTGATCATTTTTAAAGAAGCATTATTTCCATTTCATCAAATGCCATAGCTTTCTTGTTTATCTCATCTAAAAATTCCAAATCATCAGGTACTTGAAATGGAAAGTCACTTGCCATTGATGATTTAATGTGAGATTGTATTAGAGACTCAGCATTGCCTTTAAAAGTATCCTTAAAGTTTTTATCTACAAGCATAGTAGGGTCTAGATTCATAACCTGCTAAGCAGCTACTTCGATGGTAGAAGTGTAGTAACCCAACTTTGATCTTCTTAAGGTATCAGTAGAAAATTCATTGATAAGTTTTAAATGAGAGAATAGCTCGCTAAGTTTTGACCTTAGAGTTACATAGATAAATATCATCAAAAGTTCATCAGCATCCAATGTAAGTTTTCTCTTGTCAACTAATGGAATATCCTTCCAAAAAACATCGATGCAGTTTACTATATATTTACTAGTCTAAGTAATGCAACGCATTTTATCTATAGGAGTCTCATAATCTCTGAGAGATCTCACATTCAATATTGCATCCATAAATGGCTTATTTTTAATTCGTTCTTTTATCAAATTGGTTGTAATCATAAATTCATCATTAACACCCATTCGTGTTATATTAGGACGGTTATCCTCTTGGGTTAAGTTTTTTTAGTTATTCTTTTATATCACCCAGGACTTGCATCTGACATTGCCAATTTCACCTTCTTGCTGAATCAGAGTATTGTATCTTTGAAGTTAATTTTCTTAGTTTTGAGAACTACCTAATCTTTATTCTCTGATTAAAGCATCAAAACTCACATCTGAGCCACCAACATCACCATGATCTACATTCAGCATTTGCTATTAAGCAAATAGCTCAATCAAGTAGCTTCGCTTGTTCAGCCTAAATAGTTTACCAATACCTATATCTTCTGGTTTAGTCTTCTTTAGCTCATTATATTTGGACATTAGTATGAATTCATCCTCTGTAGTTGAAATTCTGCATAGTTGTAATAGCAACTTACTCATGTCTCCACGTACTGTTAGACTAGTTAATAGCTCTATAAGATCCTCTCTCATCTCATGAAGATCATCAAATTTCATGACTGGAATGTAAAATCTTATCAATGTTCCATAGAGAATGCAAATAAGCTTTTTAACTTCAGCAATAACAACTTCAGCATATTATACTTCCGGTGGCAGTTAATTAAGTGTTTATCTATCATATGTGAATCTATTGTTCTTCTTGGGTCTTACAGTCGAGTACTTCAAATTATTAAGCTTCCATCTCTCGAAATCAGAAGGAGCCTCCTTACTCTTCATTTCTGATAAGCCATCTTCTTTATCAATCATCTCATATTAAGGCTATTAATTTTGCTTGGTAAACCTCAATAGCTAATTTTTTCTTTCATTTACATTCCACAGGATTATATCTGAAAATTTCTTGATAATCATATTGATTGGATGATCTGGCTCAAATAGATTAGCTCTCATTTGATAAAGCAATGTTTGCAGGATTTTGTCAATATTGCTCACAGGAGCATTGAAATCCTCAATATTTTTAATCTTGTTTACATCCTTAAAAATTGTACTCAGTAAAGTGCTTTCCTCAGTTTTCTTTAGAGTTTAGCATAATATATCAGAATCTAGATTTTTAATGGATTTTTTATTAGTCAAGAGAAAAGTACCACCTTCCTCAATCTTGATTTCCTCTTTGCTTTTCTGATTTATAACATTAGCTATGTCTATCTATGACTCACTAATAAAGTTTTAGGCAGTAGGATAGTCATCTAACTACTAAAGTTTTTTTTACATTTGAGTCATTTTCCGACTGAGGACGCTGTTTAGTTCAGAGTTCATTCCTCTCATTTATCTTGCACTATAATTCAGGTAAAAGATTGCACTTCTGTATTTATTCTAGCAGAAGCTCTCTTACTAATCTTGTATGAATTAATGTAGTTATACTGGCCAATTAAACCCGAGTGCAATACTGCTAGATGACTCAAAATTATTAGAAAGTTAGCTATTGAGGTAGTTCAGCCAATCATCCTAATCCTTTAGTTTCCCAGTTATAATGTTATTTTCATCTCTATCTGAATTTTTCAAATTTTACTTAGATTTATTATTAGATCAACTGAATATCCCAAAACAGCATTTGGCCTCGGACTCTTAAATCATAAGAGATGAGCTTTATCTCTGAGCAAAATTTATCTAATGCTTTTCTAGGTCTTTAATATATGTATTCTTTTTTTACCTTGATTCTTTCTTGAGATTTTTGTTCATTAATATTATTATTATAGACTGGGTATAATAATTATAATTATAAATCAGAAAATGAGTTTAGATTCTCAAGGCGACAATTTCGACAGCTTAGGACTATTTATTTTTGATGGTAATATATATTTGCATCCAAAACATGTGATTCTAATTTACAATCCAACTATAGTTGTTTTGCTTTTCTTGATTATTGTAGTATACTCGGGCTGCGTTTTTTTCTTACTAGTAAGAAGATAGTATCAGCCTCTAAAAAATAGGGGATCATTTTTAATTGTGATCTCTGTAGTGGGTAAGCATTATCTATTTATAATAATTATTTATAGGGAATTTCGCATTTGTAACCAGTCTACTTGTCAATAAATTAGTTTCAAATGCTTATAAAGTAGGTTCATTCTATGATTGTAAGAAAATTTATTCAAAAGTTAATCTTTCTTAGCTTTGGATTAATATGGCTCAAGTGGAATATAAGGATAGGAATCTGATCCCTAAACAGTGTCAACTACAATGATGAAACCAACGCCTATGCCTTCAAATACAGCACTAGGATTCAGTTGCACATTATCTCATATTCAATATGGATTTTTTCTACCTATGTTTATGCTACCATATTTTTTCAGATGCTTTAGACTACTTTAAGTATTTAGAGCTCATAATAAGCATTTTGTACTTAAAAAGAAGAAGGGAGTATTCGCTTTCAAGAGAGTCAAGTCACTGTATTGTGTGAGAGAAACTAATCTAATAAAGTGGATGATTATAGTACTAATACCATTCCTTATACTTACTCTGGTTGCAATATTAGATCTGGACTTTAGATCATACTTTCCTTCATTTGAGGTACTTGAATGCCTTAGAACCGATTAAATGGAACTTACTAGTGATTTAAAACAAATCTACAGAAGGCATCTCTACATGACAATCGAGACCTATCTTATAGTAAATTTTATCTAAGACATTGCTCTGATTATTTGTATCTATGCGTTACGACATGTATAGGACGAATTCAGTATTAATTCTGAGTTAAAGATAATATCTTTTATCTGGATTATAAGCGGGTTCTTACACTTCTTTTTTATGATTTTGTATCCAGATTCTACACTTATTTCCACTAACAGTTTGAACTACTTTATGATCCTTAGAGGAATGCTAAGTCTCCTTGTAACAGCAGTAATACCCATCAAAAGGTCATATAATCCTAATTCAATCATTCCATTCCCAATCAATGAAGAATGTATAAAATCTTTAGAAATGGCATTATTGATGCCAACAAGCGCTAACTACTTCTATGACTATCTAGAAAATAGTTGCGAGAATAAAGACGCCTTGATCTATTTTGGACTCTATGCAGACATAAGAACATACTTAAGACTAATAGAAGATGGAGAAAACGATTACACTCTAAAAAGGCAAGCTGAGTAGATTTTCCAAGATTACATTAATGATGGCAGATAATGGGAAATATATATTAATCCTGAAACTATGGAAGAACTGTTAACATATTAAAGCAATGGAGGTATAACTGGACAAATGGATGAGCAGTTGTTTTCTAATTTATATGTATTCACTTTAAATATTCTTGATGGGTACTACAAGGACTTTTAAAAGTCAAAGAGATTTGAAGAGTTGAAAGACGAAGTTTCAAAGTAAGAGATCTTATATGAAATCCTTAGAAGATATTCCATGATATCAAATTGAGTTTGTTTGTTATGATTATAAGAATGTTAATTTATGCAATGCGATTGCAAGTAAGACTCACCCAATGAATATACAATTAAAATTTGTCGCAGATGCATAAATATGCAATCAACTTATCATTATACTCTAATTTTAATTTCTATTAATCTATATATGCATTAAAATATTACTTCATGGGGTTTTGGGGTTTTGGGGTTTTGGGG